GTTTTACTCATTAAACTTTATCTACCTTGCCACACTTTTATTGATCCAATTTCTTACATGCACCTTTATTGATAATTCTCACTTCTCTTTCTTAATATGTCCCGCCTCAGGACCTTCTCAGGAGCTGGCATGTTAGACAGAAACACGAGGAACAGACCAAAAGAGCTTCGCTTCTGTCTGCAACATCACCAACAATCAACATTTCCACAAAGAACAAATGCTGAACAACTAATTTCACATCTGTATTACCAAACAACGCATAACAGTGGAGCTTCTGGCAAAACATTTGAGGCAGTGCAAATGGGCAATTCTGACTCTTAAAAACACAACAGAGTTTGACGAAATCATGCAAATAAAGTGAAATATATCAAGAAATGAATACGATTATGTAACAGAGAAGGAAGTGGGATCAGCATTCTTGCATGTCAAATAAAAAAGGTTGAGTTTAGGAAAGTAAAAAGACTGTTAACTAAGGAAACTCGCTACACACTCTGTTATAAAACCTACTGTAAAGGCATGAGTCTGGGAATGTGTTAGTTCAAAGTCAGCTCTAATTTGCAGACCTCAATTAACCTTTAGTTTACAGATTACATCTCCTGAAATTCCCAGACATCTTGCCATCATTTCATCTGTTGAAGCCAGTATTGCCCAGCTGCACTGCCACAAAATAACACTCGAGTATCACCTGCTTTAATATCTCATCCTTGCTTTTGTAAAACTGTAAATAGACCCAGCTGGGTGGACGAGCGGCTCTATAGCAGCAGTTTATCTGGAGGGGAAGCTGTAAAAAACCCTGTGAATTCTGTGTAGCATCTTCAGTGAGGACTAGCTAGTTGAGCTGTTAATGGTTGTAGCCGTGTTGAACAGTGTGTGGGAATTTCTGTCCGATGGTTTCTGTGTGTGTTTATCTCACCTCTGCTCACAGCGACTTCTATAAAATCCTAGTCTGCTGTAGATTTCCTGTCGCCCCGACACAGCATAAAAAACATTATAACCCCCGCTGTTGACCCTTAATCACACTTAGCCTGTCGCTTTGGTTTCTCTGCTGCTCGTGGACGTTTTGCGGACAATCCACAGCAAAAACATGAAGAAGCGAAAAAAAAAATTAAAAAGTCCTGTATTTTTATCTTCAGGTCGGGAAAACGTTGACACAGTGTGTTGTGTATTTGTCTGGCACTGACTGTAATCACGCTAGCTGCAGTTAATAGTGTGCACTTACAATAGTTGTGTGTTCCACTGCTCTGAAGACGCTTGTATCTACACCTCAGCTCACCTCCCCCCCCCCGAAACTTAAATATACCTCACCAATTCAGAAGTCTGGTGTCTCATCACCTCTGAGGCCTTACACCTCTGTGAAGTAAAACCAACCCGCCCTCTGCGCTCTGCCTTCAGGCTGTGTTTCATTCAGCATGTGCATTTTTGCCATTTTTTACTTAAACATCTTGAAAGAAGAGAAACAAGAACGACACATTTCCCTTGAGGTTGTGTATGAGTTTCAGCTGCATCTTATAACGCAGATCTGCAGGGCAAAGCATGCAACTTTCCAGGGGCCACAGAATCTCAAGGGCCACATAAGGTTTCATGTGTACATGATCAGGTCCACAGTCATGATTGATGTAGAAGGACTGAGGTAATAATTTCAAACTCCCCTCTGTAGAACTTTAAAAAATGGCCAACACAACTCTGTGCAATTGTTTGTGTATTTAAGGAAATATTTCTTTTTCTGTACATTTGTTCTCGTCGCATTATTTCCAGATGCCAGGTATGTCATTCTGGTGAAGAACACGAAATTCCCTAAAGGCACCAATCAAATTGTACAATTTTTGCATATTAAGGAAAAATAACGTTCAATTTGATCTATTCAAATATTTTGTTTTTCTTCCTCCATTATGGACTGACTTCATTTTTATATTTTGTTGAACAATACTTCAACATGCCACCAACCAAACTCTGTTCAATTATTGAAGTATTTAGGCAAAATCACATTCTTTTTCTAATTTTGTAAACTTTTCATGCCATTATATAAATCTACGTCACTTCCAGACATATTAGAGAACATCACTTTTTTTATTTACATTTATAACGTGACCCATTTATGCATATGTTTTGATAGATCTGTTACATTGAAGGGAAAGAGTAAGCTGATGTTTAGCTGAGTCTCTTTTTTGCCTCTAAGTTAATTCAACCATGGCTAAAAATAATGATTACTGTCACAGGAACTTTTTGTTGGGTAGCAAAAGTAAAATAGAGAAAACTTTTGATCCAGGTGCAAAGAATGTTGTTAAAGATACCTTTTGTTGCAGAAAAACGTCTTTACTGCTCATATAAGGTGCCACATTGAGGGGACAAATTGTAAAGCTGTCACTGCTGCAACCTTCAGCACTTTGTTTTATGTTTTCACTCTTCTGCTGGCTTCCCTCTCTCCACTTTAACTCTCTATTCCTCCAGATTCTGCTGAAGCTCATTGTAAGAGGGTCTCCGGGGTCCCTGTGTATATGAAGTAAAGGACATAATGTTTATCCTAATATTACTTAACTCTGTGACACTGCAGCTTGGTGGAATATATCATTGTAGATGTGGTGCATGGAAAACTGCTGAAATGAACAATAAACTTCATCAAGCCTATTGTGTCATTAAGTTGGTATGAATAAACAAACGTATTGTAATGCAAACAGACACTTTTATTGAGAAATTAAACGAAATAGTATACATTCATATCAAGTGACATAAGAGATGATAAATGTAGTCCATTATATTTTGCACATTTTGCCGCACTGAAATTAAAATCTTATCTCTATTTTATTAGTTTCTGTACAGGAGTATTGCTCTGATATCAGATAATGTATTACATTTTCATTATCAAAAACAACTAAACTTCCGGTTTGGCCTTGCAGATTTCAAAATAAAACACGTTTGTCAACATTAAGTCTAACCAACCATATAAATGTTGCAAATATTTAAAGGGGACCTATCATGCCAAATGCACTTTGTGATGTCTTTTATACATAAATATGTGTCCCCTGTGCGTCGGGGAGCTCACGCAGCGTCAGAAAATAAAACCCTCTCTCTTTTCCTCCGTACCCAAATCTTTTAAAAACGGGTGTACAATGAGCGGATACAGATTTCCATCCGCTGTGACGTGTCCATCCGCTGTGACGTCGGCGGACCCACAGAAAGTTGCTATCAGAAACAATGCCTGACGTGTTTTGGACGTAACATGTGTTTAAAAAGCAGGAAATAAAAAAAGAACTCACCTTGTGATAAACCTGCAAGAGAAAAAGCATTTGAGCTCCATACTATTTCAGGATAAATGTTTTATCCTTGACGTGGTTTACACAGGATGGCGTTTTATCACAACCGAATTTAACTTTATCTCCGGTAGAATTCTGATCAGGCATTACCTCCTCTTCTTTCTTTTTTTCAAGCTAAGGACCCAAGATCGGCGTTTCTCTAACAGCTACAATAGAGGCTTCTCAATAATCAAATTTCCCCTCCTCGACTCCTCGGTCCTCCGGTAGTGACCCGGAAATGAATTTCAGCGCGCCATTTTGAAGGACGTTTCATTTCTCTAAATGCACACCGCGGACCGAGCATCGGGCGTCGAGGAGGCTCTCTGGAGGAGCTATAACCGAGGATACACTGATGGCTCCTCCACGGATGCATTTCCGGGAACGGTGGAGGCGTGACGCACGGCCGGACTTATCTCAGCCAATGACAGCTATGCATGCATCCCCTGGATATTATTTTAGAAACTGCTTTCATCACGTCGCCATGTTTCCAGAGAGAACAGCTGTACGGTCCATGCAGAAAGCAGAGCAGTGTGTATAATATATATCACTCAGTATAACAGGCCTACTCTCTTTATTTGCTTTAGTTTAGTAGATATCTACAAACAAAGAGTCGATATTTTTCTAAGACCATTGCTTCACATAATAAAATACACAACGGCTTATGCTTTTGGAGCTGTAGGTGTGTGTGGTACAGTGTGTATGTGTGTGTTGTACAGTGCGTAAATGCGGCGGACAGACGGGTCTCAATTGGTTTGGTGTCCTCTGCTTACTTTTAATAGGCCTACTTGTAAATACAACTTTTGGCCCGTAATTTCAATTCCCCATTTCAGCGACCAGAGAGAGGGGGGAATATATCCAGTCTCTGATTGTGTTACGTTATTATGAGAGTGCTCTCATACTTTAAATTGTATATATTTATATAAATATATTTGTGTGTGTGTGTCCGCATCTGTAGTCTGTTATTGTCTCATTATACCGCACTGTCAATGAATTCAAAGTAAATATGTGGGGGAACAATGTTCAGCTGATCTAACAGAGATACAGCGCTATGACAAAACACTCGACAGCTGATGCAGCTGTTGCCACGTAATAATGAACGGACGTCTCTTTAAAATGACCGCTCAGAGGAGAGGAGTTCTCATTTCTTTAAACGTCTGCTGCTTCCCCTCCTCTCTCCTCGGTTCCCCTCCTCGGTCCTCCGCTCGCATCTCCTGTGGGCGGGTCTAAGTCTCGAGGAGGGGTGTCGAGGAGGGGAAATTTGAGTATTGAGAAGCCTCTAATGGGTGATCTGTTTTTAAATTTTTTTTTTTAACTTCACAGACATGTTTTATATAGGTATGGCCCTACAATATATTTTTCAAATATAGCATGATAGGTCCACTTTAACTGAAGGTCATTTTACCGTGTGTAAACCTTTAGATCTATAGAAAGGTTTAATTTAGAGGAGTTGCGCAGTTTTTTACGTTAGAATTAAAGGTCAATATAAATATGACCTGAGGTACACGTACATTTACAGTTACAATTTTAGAAATGAAAATAATTGTTTTGGTAAGTCAGCATTACAACTTTAAAAGTCTGACGTGCTATTTTCTTGATATAAAATAACCACATCATAGATGTATACATTCATGTTATGTGTTCATCTGTAGATTTAACAACAAATATTTTAATCTGAAAAGACCGTGGCGGAAGTGTCGTATCGGGTAGTCACCATGCATAGGTAGTTAATTTACACCCAGAGCCACAACGTTTACTGCAGTGAAGAGAAGGGAGCAGCCATTTTCCTGAAGACTTTAATTAAAAACACAACACATTTTGCCAGCTTTTGTTTATATCTGATGATAAATAGGGGTTTAATCTAAAATTAAAAATCATTTTATTTCAGGGTTTTGCGTGTTTGTCATCGCTTTAGCTAACGTAGCCGCGTGAGCCCATCGCGTGTCGCCGACGAAGGTAAGAGAGCTAGGTTAGCTGCTAACTGCTCATTAGCTTTAGGGTCAGCTAGCTAAAAGTAAGCTTAATTTATTTCACATTTTCATGTTTTGGAAGGTTAAGGGAATAATCTAAAAAATATCTACTAGGGGCTATCATGCTCACCAATGTACCCCAATAAGAGTGTTTGACGTCAACTAAAGTTAGCTTGTTTGCAACTGTGTAACAGTTATTTTTTTGGATTAACGTGATGTTTAACATGTCATTTAATTATCTCAAGGCTTTTATTGTCATGCGTACACTACAGTGTAGTTATGTCGTTGAAAATCTTAGGTCACAGGCTCCTCCAACAGTGCAACACAATACAACAGATAAAATAGTGCAAGTAAATACAAATGAATCTTGTTGTATTATTACGTTGGCTTAATAATAATAATGTTAATTTGTTTGTACAGCTATAACATATATTACATATGTTCCTAACAGTTTTTATCTTTGTTTCAGGAGATCATTTACAGTAACTGCAGTCTATACTGTTGAGTTTCAAGCTTTGAGGAGTGTTTGGATTCACTTAGTAAACAGACGTCTTCTATTATTGAAATCCTTTTAGGGGGACATTGGCTTCTAAATATAGGTGCAAATTAAAGGTGACCCTTGATAGACCCTGTTGCTAGAAACTAGACAGTCTAGATCATTTTCAGTCAGATGAAATGAAAACAATTATCCTTGACAATACCAATAGTTCAGGTAGTTCAGTAATAACTTCTTCTACAGTAGTGATGTGTTTGTCTGCAACCTCTATTTTGTAACTAAAAACCTATTTCCCTAAAGGTTGACAACATGTCACGACCACGGTCCAGATCACCGCATTACAGGTAAATGCGTTAGATTTGATTTAATTTACTCTTAAAACTCAGAAATGAATATATGCATGTTTGTTGTAACAATATTAATGGTTTATTTATTGTTTGCTATATTACAAGTGGTGACACAGGTTTTCTTTTTACATTTTCTTTTTCAGGAGGTTCCCATGGGATGAACCTGACTTTAATCATCACAAAGTTGTTGCAGACCTGGACACTAATCCGTCAGATAGGAGCCCCTTCCCTGAGGAACACTGGGGAGACTTTAGGGAGGACATGCACCCTGAAGCCCAGAGAAGATCCCCTCCTTTCCAAGATGACCGTCAGTTTGGACATCAACGTCATCCAACCAAGGAGGACTTTCACCCCAGAAGACTACTATCGCCGCATCGTGATGCTGTTGGCTTTGAAGATGACCGGAGGCTTTCCTCGCTGCAAGTTGGAGCAGGAGATAGACACAGAGGAGGCTTCAAAGAAATATTCCAGAGTTTTGAAAACAGGCAGAGGTTGCCACAATCGCCTCCAAGGCTCGAGAGGGAAACATTGCCGCCGATGCCAAGGCCTCACTCAGACCACAAACAAAGAGAGCCAGTAGGAGGCTGGAGGAGAGAGGAGCAGGGCAGAGGTCAAGGGGGGTTCAGGGACCTCAGTCCCAGTGTGAGATCGGATGACCAGAGAGGAGGACCAGGTAGGGAGAGAGAAAAGAGGAACACGCAGGGTCCTTTTAGAGACAGGCGGAGAGAGGATTCACAGCAGGACAAGAACCCCTCCTTTAAAATGCAAAGAAGAGAAATGGATGACGCCACTCACCTTGGGTAAATTTAAAGCAAAATGCTTTGCAGCACTGTCTCAAGGAAACGAAGAATGCAGAAGATTCTCATCTTTCTAATTTTCCATAGAGCAAACTTACTGTTTGTCATCACACCCTATTTTGGCATGACATAAATTACTTGTATTCTGCATGGCCTAAAACTGTCTTGCATTGCAACTCTTTCTGATTCCTTAAAAATCTGCATGTATTTTACTGAACCAATAGTTTTTAATGAAAAAGGCAGCATTGTTCGCAAAATCTGTTTTTAAAGATCTCTTGTTATAGGTTTAACAGATATTTGATATAGACTGAGATAAATCCAAGGCTAATTAAAGTGTACATTCAAGTTGAATTTTAAGCATGAATAATTGTTGAACCATGTCACCTCCTCTTATGCTGTCACACAGGAATGAGGAGGACTTTGGGGAACAGCGTTACTCGGTGAACTCTCCCAGAGATAGGTTTGGAGGAGACGCTCAGGTGGGCCTCCCCCGTGGAGACATTCGGCACTCGGGAGCACTCGTCATTGAACATGGTCACGGCATCGCAAACAGCAGACAACCGCCACAATGGGAAAAATGTAGCAGTCGTGGAGACCCTGACTTTGATCGACCTAGGAGTCCCCGTCCCATGAGCTCCTCCCAGGAGCGTTTTAGGGCGCCGGACAGCAGGGTGGATGATGGTGAAAACACAAGGGGACGCCATTTTCAAGATAACTGGAAAGAATCCAACTATAATGAAACGAGGAGGAACCCCACTCCCCAAGATATACCAAACCCCGTGAAATATGGTAATCGAGGTCATGTGAACCCCAGGGGGAGGGGCGGCCCTCGCCAAGCAAAAGGGCAATTTAATCGCGGTCAAGGAGGACGGACCCCAGTTCCAAGGAATCAACCTCGCGTACAGCAGTCCTCCCAGGGATACCAAGGTCTGGAAGAGCAAAGAGCAGCTTTCCGACCCTTAAGGGATGATTCCTACGAGGATCCCATTGAAGAGGAGCCTGAGTGGGCAGAAGAAGACAGAATTCAGCAGTGGAAACCTCAGAGGCCTGTAAGCGTGGACCATCGCCTACAGAGGAATGACTTTGACCCGAAAATGCCCCGTCAGAGGGCGCGAGGATTGAACGGACAGAAAACCAACAACCATACGAGCGTCGCAACGGAGGAAACGCTAACCATCAAAGTGGACATGAGCCGACCCGCAAAAACAAACAGGTAGAGTAATTTTTTTATAAATCATCCAGGGTGAGAGGGGAAAGTTCACACTTCTCTTTCTAAGATCATTGAAAGCTGCTTAAGAAGGAAGGAAAACGATAGGAAAAGTGAAGGCTTGTTGAAAATCTCAGAAAGACTACATTTGAACTGGATTGTGTTGCAGTTTGTACCTCTGCTTATACCCCCCATTGGTACTGTAAAGCACTTTTGCTACAAGCATCTACCAGATTTGCTGTTGAATCAAACTACCAGGATGCTTTGCAGAAGTTTAATCTGAAGCGGAAGTCCCCCTCTAAGAAAATCAGGAAGAGACACACAGCGTGTTTGCTGTAGAAGCCCAGGAAACCCGCACCCCTCCAGAAGAAAGCAAACCCAAGATTAAGAACTGAAGAGAGGGAGTGTCATTGGGAAAGTGGCCACAAAAGCTGCAAATCACTCCTTTTTATATTCTACACAAATAGGAACACTCACCAGCTTGCTGTTGTGCTAATGCCATGATAAGATTGGGAGGATTTGGCCTAATGCAGGATGATGCAGGAGATGATACATGATGATGATGCAGGAGGATGATGCAGAAGAGCAAAACACCTCCAAAAAACTGAAGAAAACTCAAGGCATATAGTTTAAAAAGAAAGAAGGAAACATGCATTACCTTACTGATTTGTGGCAGAGAAGCATCATAATGACAACTTTCATCTCAAATGTACTATATTTTTGACTTTTATTCAAAGTCTCATCAAGTTTGCACTCGGATGCAGAAGACAACAATAGAGGCCAAAGACTGCACACCACCAGGCAGACCACAAAAGGAACAAGCGTTGTGAGTCAGTAGGCTGCAGAAGTGGATCGTATCACAATCAGAAGTCCTTTATTAGTCTCGCAGTGGGAAATGTACAATGTGGACTTTGAAACCAGAACCATTACGAAGAGCATATTGAAAGCACATGACCCAGGAGAAAGGAAAAACCCTGCAAACATTACATGTGCTTTGGTATGTCATTACATTTTTTCTATCCTTTTTTTTGGACTGAAATGGACGGACATCATTTGTTGAAGCTCTCCATCGATGTGACAATCTATTTGATGCACATTTTCAGGTTAAACCAAATCCTCAGAGGCCACACACCTCTGGTTGAGCTGATTTCAACATGATCTGTTAGGAATTCTTGGCCTCATTTGAAGAAACTTCCGTTACGATGTGAAGCTGGATTTGGAAACCCGACACCACTGAAACTGAAGGAGGAAATATCTGTTTCCTGAAGAAATGGCTCAAGGGAAGGAAGTCAAAGAAAGGCAATATACTACGTTGTGATGTATCGCAATTTCAACTGAGCACACATAAGAAAGGAATCGGCTGTTAAAGGAAGATCTGATAGCTCTGCCATTGAGAAAGAAAACCTCTGGAATATTTGAACGGGATAAATCAAGAAGTGTGACACGGTGAGGGCTTTTTCCAGCTTGACCAAAGCTGTTGGTCCACATGCCACATCAGATGTATTGAAATGGAACAAACCTGCATACATTGATCAATGGGAGGAAAGGGGGGAAAAAGAGCATGGTCAAAATAGGTTTCTACACTATCTGGATGAGCAGGGAGAAGAAGATCTGCATTGGCCAGACACTGAAACACTTTCGCAGCTTGGCAAATATATTTCAGGAAGAGGATTCAAAGCATGTCCAGTATTCAAATGCTGAGAAGCATCCACGTTAAGGCAAACATTTCTAACTCTGGAATATTGTTTTTGTCCAGCTTGGTAGGATGAACATATACCTCACCTGCAGCTGATATCACAAAATATGAGAAGCTGTGAATCTCAGTTATCACAAAAGCAGCAAGATAGGACACCTGGCAGAATTCATACACGTTGTTGAAAGAAATTGAAGCCATGCAAGTAAACATCAACACTTTCAATGGTATGCTGTCGCAAAGATAAAAACATAAACATCCTCAACAGAGAAATGAAAGCCCTGTACACGATCATCATCATCATCATCATCATCATCAACAGATGGATTGCAGACTCCTAATCAAAGCCTTGAGGATAAATATCAATGCTTTTAGAAGGGGAAATTGAAGCCTGAACACAAGTGAGAAACTGAAGCAACATTGGGTTAACATAAAAGTTCAAACCTTGAAAATACATATTGGTGTTGCTAAAGGAAACGTTTGCAGCATTCAACTCAAAGCCATTAACATCTACATATCTGGATAATTGAGGAAGTCATCCGTGCTCTGAAGCCGTACATGTAAATATCGTCATCCTGAAAAGAAGAAAATTGAAGCCTGAAAATAAACATCTCCGCTTATGAAAGAAGAAAGTTCAAATTGCTGGTAAGCTACAAATATAATCCATGGCAATCAATGGAGAAAAATAAGTTTCATCAGCGCTTTTTAGAGAAAAGAGAAGAACGGTATCCTAAATTCTGCAAGAATGTAAATCAATGGCAAGTGGATCCAAAAGCTGAAGGAGGATCATCCCGGAAGAACAGGGAGGCAAGTTTGAACAGATTATTGATCAAGACACGATATTTGATGAAGTTCCCCATAGCGGAGTCACAAACATTACCGGAGTCGTCATCATAAGAACCAAAGCTGCTGACGGGATATTGAACATTTAATGGATGAATCAAGAAAAGAAGTGTGAACTTTCTCCCGACGTTTTAAACTCCCCTGTCTCTATAAAGAGAGATATCTTGATTTCCCTCTGAAAAAACTAAAAATCCATCAAATATAATGAATTTGTTCGATTCTCTGTACTTTCAAGGGTGAACATCGGCCTTTTGTTATGCTACATGTAGGGTGTAATTATTGTACACATTAGTTATCAATTGTGGGACTCAGGGAAGGTAAGTTTGCTGGGTAAGGTAAACTCTGCTTTTATTTCAATGTAATATTATTTACCTACATGTGATTTAGAAAGAAACATTATTTTTCAAAAGAAATAAACATTTTGTCTACAATTTTAATAAAAAGTACATTAACATTTGGTCTTTCGGGACACAACACATTTTTATTTTACTGGCTACTTGTCACCTTGATATTCATGTTCAAAATGACTTATATAAATGGTAGTCAAGGTCATTTCCAATGTGTTCTACACAGTTATACATTTGGTTTGGTTTCATTCTTCCTCTCTCCTCCTGCAGCTTGCTGTTTTACTCCTCCGACCGGCAGCTCTCGTTAGACCTGGTTAACGTCGGCCGGCAGCGCCTGGACTTCCTGCCGATGCTCGAGCACTCGGGCACGTACCGGGAGAATGCCACGCACACCGGGACCTTCGCCCAGGAAATCATCACACTGGTGCACCAGGTCAAAGGTCAGCACTGCATACACATCTACCTGTTATGGCTTTGGTTTAATACAATAGCAGTAAAACATACAGGAGGACAGAAATACTTTATTTTGTTAGCATAATGTGTTGTGTGGACATAATGTACAAAATAAGGTGTAGTAAAGGGGATTGAGGTGGATTATATAAATGATTAAGTCAAACAGGATGTAAATGAATACGGAATTATGATTTATGTGAGCACAATATTTTATTTTCAAAAGGAGGATGGAACATACTTATGTAGGTGATTAGGAGTAAATGCCTATAGTAATTCACAGTAACAAGATGTAAGTGGACAGACGTATGTGTGTGTATGATATTGATGTTTGGGCTAAAATATATCTATAAAATAAAGTGCTAGAAGTCAATATATACGACTACAGCAAACGGACACAAAACATAACATTTGGATTCAAGACATCTTACAAAAATGATATAATGAAAAAAATACCCGACATATTTAGGCAGAGGTGGGAGTAAGTCCTACATGTGCAAGTCATGAGCAAGTCTCAAGTCTTGACCTACAAGTATCAAGCAAGTCCCAAGTCACTGTGGTGAGAGTCAAGCAAGTCAAGTCAAGTCATTGCTCAGGTCAAGCAAGTCAAGTCATACAACATTCTGATGAATAAGCCCAGTTTCCGCATTTAAATCAGTTATTGTCAGTTTCATGGTTTTGTATGATCAGTGGTTATGAAAATGGATTCAACCTACACTATGATCTTCATTACATACACAGTTAATCATTTGAAATCTAATTTAGACCGATGACAATCATATTAGATTCATATTAACCCTAGAACTGCAGACAATATAGCGAGGACTCAATCAAAAAGTCTGTTCAAAAAGGCAGAATTCCAGGTAAGAAAATCATATATGGCATTTGCCATTACACATATTTAATTTACATTTCTGTTAACACTAGAACCGCCAACAGCGTCAGCACCTACATAGATATCATTTTCAAATCATTTAATTTGTTCCTCTTCATAACTTCCTTATAAACTAAGTAGGACGATTTAAAACTCACTTAATTGGGTTCATTTAGAAATTGCTTCAGATAAATAAACGAGGCCTCTCTCTCTCGCTCTCTCTCTCTCTCTCTCACACACACACACACACACACACACACACACACACATATATAGTGTTCATTTACCGCTTTGTCTTCTCTTTGCAATGCTTAATCGATTTGAAACCAAGTCTAACGTAGCTTAAACTTAACGTTAGCTTTCTAGCTAACACAACACATTCACGCCCCTTTCTCTGTGGGTTTTTTTGTGGTGACGAATGAAGTTGGATGTTGTGGTGGTCGTGTCACTGATCTGTATGCTGCAGACCCTGCATACCGCTGTTCTCTTCTTATTACCGTCATCGACAACATAATCCTTGAATCCAAACTTCACTATTTTTGGAGTAACGCTTGCCGCTGCCATGTTAACTGAGACTCCTGCCTTCTAGTGGGTTGCCAGGTTTGCGCGCATGGCGCTATAATCACGTTTTTCGAAAAAACTAAACGTGATATCTCAATACAAAAACAAACGCAAATATTTAATTTTAAACCGTCAAGTCCTTTCAATTCATCTATCTCAAGCTTAAGTCATGAATACCAAGTCAAAGTCAAGTCAAGTCTTTTATCAATGTTAGTCAAGCAAGTCTCAAGTAAAAAAATATGCGAGTCAAGTCATGTGACTCGAGTCAAGTCATGTGACTCGAGTCAAGTCATGTGACTCGAGTCTGACTCGAGTCAAGTCATGTGACTCGAGTCTGACTCGAGTCAAGTCATGTGACTCGAGTCTGACTCGAGTCAAGTCATGTGACTCGAGTCAAGTCATGTGACTCGAGTCTGACTCGAGTCAAGTCATGTGACTCGAGTCAAGTCATGTGACTCGAGTCCCCACCTCTGTATTTAGGTATGATAAAACTCTTTCTTATCTGCTTTTACAGAGCAGTATTTCAGATCTGATGGGGCCAGCCTGAATGAGAGATTCTCAACGCCTCAGAAAGGGGTCTTCTCTGAGGAGGAGGAGACCGAGGAGCTGACGCTGGACGAGAGGTTCAGCGAAAACCGGTTCGTAGAATGTTCACAGACCTGCATACTGCTTCTCGTAAACTTGTTGTACAGATGTAAAGAAATCATTAATTACATTTGTATAAATCATACAGAACTCTTTATATTCATTATTTGCCATATTGTTGTCGTGGGTTTAAAATATTTAAATCCCTTCCTTGTAAAATTGTATTTAAGCTCCATGTGCTCCACATATCTTACTGTCACTTAGGGCTGTGCAATTAATCGTATTTTAATCGCGATTACGATTATGGCTTGCGACGATTATGAAAACAGCATAATTGACAAAATACGATTATTTAGCTGGGTGCGCTTCGCCCCACCCTAAAAGCCCACTCGGCCACGTGGGAGTGACATGTGTTGTGAGTGTTCAGCGCGAGCGAAGGTGTCAGAACAAGAGCAGCAACTCGTTAAAAAGAAGGGTACAACTATTTCCACTATTTGGAAGTACTTTGGCTTTCAGGAGTCCGACAAAGTACAGTGCAGGATTTGTTACCAGGTTGTGTTGGCACCACACGCTAACACAACCAATCTCTTTAATCATCTGAAATACAACCACAAAGTGCAATACGACCGGGCAGTAATACAACAAAAAGCAGACCAAAAAGCATATGCCGCTCGGCCTACGCGACGAGCTCGCAGAGACAGAGATATTACAGGTGCCATTACATTTCACATCGCTAAAGATATGTGCCCAGTTAGCACTGTTAGCAACCAGGGCTTTAAGCAACTTGTCAACACGTTGGACAAGCGTTACGCGATGCCGTCTCGGTATTATTTCAGCAGGTCTGCGCTGCCTGCGCTATATGACAAATGCCGTGGGGAAGTTGAGAGAGATGTGGCTTCAGCTGACTACTTTGCTACCACAACAGTCCTATGGTCTAGCCCAGGGGTGCCCAACCAGTCGATCGCGAGATGTGTCTAAAAATAGAACAACAATATTCTGTTTTATCGTTAATGTCCTGTAACATAATCTTCCTGTGCCAGAATAATGCACTTGAACGCATCAAAGCTTTGTGATTGGCCGGCGTCACCCCATGTGTCGGGGCGTGGCTGAGGGTCTTCAGTACAGGTGGCAATATCGTCACCTGCCTGCGCTCATCTCTGAAACCAGACCATGTAAACAGGCTGGTGTTTCTTGCGAACAATCTTTAAGAGATGACATGAGCAGCCCTACCAGCATTTGCCATGGTGGCCTAAACATTTTTATTTGGTCTTAAATTGTAGTTCAACATTTATTTCCTGTTACTTCTGGACCATGACGGTGGGCCAGCCTTCAACGTTTAACTGAGTGGAATATGTTGAATATGTTTTACCAAAATGTTGGCTATATGTTAAGGAGTTTTCAGTAGGTTGTGACAGTGCACTGCAACATGTTTGATTTCATTTATTTTGGTCTAATTTATTTTTATTTATCATATTAATAATATATGTTTAGTATGGTTTTGGAAGTGTGCTCCAACATATTTGTTGATCTTGTTTATTGGTAAAATATTATTTGTTTTAAAGTTCAATAAATGGTCAATGAATAATCGTGATATCAATTATTGACCCAAATAATCGTGATTATGATTTTTGCCATAATCGCACAGCCCTACTGTCACTTTATTCCTGTCTTTTATACTTGTTTTATTCTATATATCTAGATATGTTTGTATTCTCTCAGGTCTGAAATGACTGCTTTGTCTCTTGCAGAGGCTTCAGCTTAAATATGAACTCGCTGCTTGACGAAGAAGAGCCTCTGTTCTCCAGACTGGGACCTTTACTGGTAAATAAACATCTTTTAACTTGGTATCCTAAAACCACTAGACCTTCTCATAAGGCTCTGCGATACATTCATATTATATCTATCTCAGGTTTTAATAAAGGATGTCCTTTTCTTGCACCTTCCTCGCGACAGTAAAGGCATGTTATTTTCTAATGTTCCTTTATGAAACCCTACAGTATCATAGCAGTGTTGATCTTGAGGTATCGTGTAAAAGATATTGCAACATTTTATAAAATCCATATTGCCCAGACCTTATTCCTTATTGGCTTCGTGGATACATTTCTACTTGAAAACATGTTTTTTGATTGATGTTACAGCCGGTGCGGGGCCCGGGGGACCTGAGGCACGACCTGGAGCGGAGGAGGCAGGAGAGACTGGAGGGAGTCAAAGTCACGATATCAGGGAGCAATATGTCACAGCGCCCCCTCGGGCCCATCAGGTGACATTACACTCCTTCTTCCTGCTGTCATTGCTTTTCTATTGACCCTAAAGTCATTTATGTTTAGGGTAAAAACATAGAATATTTACACAAATATCTTATTAGGTACTTTTACTTTACCCAATTTTCTTCTTCTCAGAGAGTAATATTGTATAAATATAAAATAAGGAAATCTACAAACTTACATCTTGTGGACATTGTGTTCATGTTTCTCTCAGCGAGCCGAGTTTAGAGTACGAAGACAACATGTCTCCGATGGAGGAGGAAGGCTTCTCCAACTGGCCGGAGGAGCAGAGCAGGAGGCGAGAAGGAAACATGGTGAGGGTTAAAGAGCTAGAGTTTGACCTCTGACCTTTCTACAATGTGCTCCATCTGATTAATGGAGACTGCATGTCAGATTTCAAAGTGAATCTTAAACCTTTCTTTCCTTCTTTAGGGACCAAGGAGAGGCGCTCCCTTCGCCGCCCAGCGCAGAAACACTCGCCCCGTTAACCGGCTCGGACCAATGAGACGACCAAACAACCGAAACCCCCCCGTAGGTACTGAACAATGATTACAGCTTCAATTAGGGTCACTTAATACAGATAGAATTCATATTCCTGTAATAACAAACTTACTGCTTTGTAGTAAGTTTCACCTCTTTGGTTTCCTTACAGATCCATAAACAATAGAAACATATTATTAAGGATGTTTTCCCATGTTTGCAAGATCTCACATAAAAATATATACTGGTGGTTTTCAATCCAGTGTGCTAATCATCATCAATTTGGGTAACATATCATTTTGTTTAGTTGTATCTGGGCAATAATGTTGCCAGCAGTCGATATTAAACTATTTAAAATAAATAATAATACATAAATATTTTACCGTAACCCTTTTTAAAGCGCATGTTTTCCAGCCAGCATTCAATTGAGTATACATTTGAATTATTGCCTAGCTTAAGTCGTACCATTTCTATTAACATTTGTATTTAAATCTACTAATTAGAAATCTGTCAGAAGTCATGTTTTATTTATGTAACCTCAAACCAAACTCTAGACCCTTAGAAGCGTAACTGTTTTATGGAGTGTTTGGCTGCCGAGGTCATCACCTCCTCACCTCCTCTCTTTCCATTCGGTCTGAATCTCCCTCATATTGTTTCTACCTGACCTCAGCTCTTTCTCTCTCTCTGTATTCACCTCTCTTAGGTCCTAACTGGTGATCGGAAACTGGACATGTATCCTGTTACGGATGACTTTTAAACCTTACCTTCAAAAAAAGCCAATCAAATGTATATTGTGTCCATTTCAGGACAAATAAATGGTGTTGGTTTTTCCCTTGCATCAAATTGTGAAGAAGTCTCAGTGAAAAAAAGCTATTTGATTAAGATGAATGTTGAAACCCCTTTCCATCTTTGTTTAAATGTGTCTTTGTAGAGTCTTGATTTAAAGCAATGTTTTTTTATTTTTTACTCAAACGGTCGCTGTTTATCAGAATTAATTTCATTTTCCAACATCTACAGGTTTATTGTTGGAGATAAATACATTTAGTTAATTGCGCTCGTGTGAATCAACGGTACTTAAAAACGCTCTTTGTTCACTAAGTCGTTATTTCTGTCTTTGTCTCGGATTGATCACGTCTGTACCGTTTAGTTTAACGTCACCGTTATTGCTGAATAAATACAATGTTTCTCATTTTGCTTTTGTGTCATTTGTTGCCAAGTCAACTGTCCTTATTGGGTAACTAGTGAAGCTCACGACCAGGCCACTTTAAAAAAAGAATAGCTATCAAATGTTTGGAAAGACATTTTGACTAGTTTCACTAATGACCATTTTTTTTCAACCTCTTTCTTAATTGTCAAATTGTGTTCTGTGAAAAGATCAGATGCATGTACTGCAAATATTCTATCATGAGGTTTTGTTCTAGCTTGAGTTTCTCAATTTGAAGTCCTTCACAGTGACTTTGCTGTAAATATTCTGTGGCCACTTTCACTCAACGTGTTTTCGCCTGATTTAAATTATACAAACCTTAATTCAGTATGAGTCATAGAAAGCTGTATAGAATCAAGATATAAAAAAAACAATAGGTTTGCGTTTAATGTTTTTTGTCAAATTATTATTTATTTCAAACCACGGTGAAAAGACATAATAAAAAAGACAGTTAATGTTTACAACACTTTTTCACGAGTTATTTGTCTTTGTATAGGCTGAAACATTTACTGAGTCACTTTAACAATTTGAACAGCTTAAAGTCGCCCATATTCACAACTTGTCTTAGCTACCTTTTAGATAATAAACTTCACACATTAATACAGAACTACATTTAGCTGTGGACAAACATAGCAGCAGCACATTTTTGGCATTGATTGATTCTTTTAAGTTGAGAACTTAGGTTAGAAGGCACTGAAACTGAGCTGTATTGATGTGTCTTTGTAGCTGCACTGAAACTGAGCAAAAGTGTAGAATACATATTTTTATAAATCATTTTTGTGAGACAAATTCCAACAACAATTCCTATTGTGTAATTTTCATGTAAACAAATACATAGATGAACCTTATAGCTCCAAATACAATATCACCAGCTTATTTAACTTAGCTTTTAAACATTAAGTGTTTCTGATAATCAAAAAAACGTGTGTGTTTCCTAACCTCTGAGATTAATACTTATATTAGCTTTCTAGAAACCCCTCAGCAGCGACAGCAGAGACAGGCAGGCTTCATGAGTGTTCCTCGGCTCCTCATTATCCAGTAAGGAGGCGGCAGCTCCTCCTGTGGGACCCCTGGAGGTCCTCCTGGGGCCCGGAGACCCTGTAGCACCAGGAGGACGTCTGGTGGGTGAGTTAAATGTGTTTCCATAGAAGAAGAAAAAGTGTGTGTGGTTGGGGGAGTCAGAGGCCTGAGCCGCAGGGTAACGGTCGGAACGCCACCTCCATGTTCTCCTCCAGGATGATGTCGAAACGGCACATTAGAGGCCTGACGGAGAAGAAAGACAAAACGTAGATGTTTCTTTTATTATATAGAAAATAATGAAATGCTTTAAAGAGATACAGCAGTTCCGTTAAACACACTGGCATTTAAAGGGGTACACTTGTGAAATCTTGAAGTAGCCCCTTCCAATAAATGAAAATATTCTTATAAATAATACCATTTTGTTTTGCTCGTTTCAAAAAGGTATTTTATCCTTCTTCCAACATTTGACTTTATTTTGGAAATGCACAACAAATCTTCCTCTTTTTTATATGTTGGTATGCCTGTCACTAATACTCGAAGTACGATCTTATTGTGGTCGTACGACTTGATAAACTAAATAAAACTAAAACAATTTTTTTCCGTTATATCTTGTGTGACTGAAAACACTTCATGTTTTAGACTATAATTAGTAATGGCAACCATCAAATATTAACATTTTATATAAATACATTTTAGGGATAAATCAGCTTTTGACTACTAAGAAAATAAAAATCTGTTTAAGCTTAATTTGATTATGCTGAACTCAATATTTGGTCTTGTAAAACAATTATCTCAATCCTATCATCCGTCATCTAAATCAATAAATCATCGAAATGTCCAAACTTCGCTAAACGTGTCTCTGACCTCTCTGGGCGCTCCAGCGGTGTGAAGCGTATCCTCAGAAGTCTGATTTTGTACCGGGGGCCGATCACGTTCCCGGTGTTGATTCTCATCGAGATCTTGTGCACCTGCTGCAGATCCTCATCGAACTGGGCCAGTAGCCGTGAGGAAGTGTACTGCTCGAACCTGAGCTGCTTACTGTGAATAGAGAGGGAAGGAATTGAGTATAACATTATTTTTGTGCAGATGTTCCTACAGGTTAAACTGGCATCCAGATGTTTCCCTGACTCACTGATCTATCCGGGCCTCAGTGAAGTTTTTCCCGCTGTGCAGACGGATGTAGACGACACCCCAGCGCAGGTACTGGTTCCAGGTCACCATGTCCACTCTGTAGCTCATCTCTGACACACAGAAAACATTTATTAAGTTGAAATAAAAGCAGAAAAGGTACCAGATACATTTAAATCGTAAATAGATTGAAAAGACAGTTTATTGTTACATTCCTTCACTCATAAAAGTATGATTCTTCTGTATGTCGGTTGAAGCTATAACAATGTTATTTTTTAAGTGAGTCCGCTTGGTGCATGATGTTTTTAAGACTCACTCCTGTAGGGCAGCGTGCTGGTGGTGCTGAAGAAGGCTCTGGTCTGCCCCAGCTTCAGCAGCGTGTCTCTCCACTGACTCATATCATACCCTGCAGGTAGAAACAGAAAGAAACACAAACACAAGCTCCATTTAATCACAGTAAGAGCTTAGATTAGCATTAAATGTTACATTAGTGCACATTTGGTGAGCTATTTGTTATACTTTTTCTATATTTTTTTGCACATTTCTGCACAATGAAACTCCGCTCTTCCACTTTCAAATTCTGATATACTGCGCATATTCCATTTTTCTACTGTTTATATAAATACATAGTATTTTCTGAGTTTTTAAAGGCTCATGAGAGAATAAGGCGGATGATTCAGTTTCTCTTAATACTACCAAAAAAGTACCTTTTTGTTTAGTGCCTAAATACTTAATGGACGAAACAAAATCATTATTCAAAGTAAATTAATTAATAAAAGTAAAAGCTATTGCTACAAAATATGTATTCGTTTTTAGAGTTAAAAGTTTATTAGTATAATTAGGAATATGCACTTAAATTATTAAAAGTAAAATGACTCAATCCAGATAAACCCAAAACCTCAAAATTATTCAAAATAGATTAAATAAAAACATTTCTTTGTATTTGTTAATTACATAATTGTTTTTAAAATAGTTCTATAGTTTCCCCTTTTGTACACCTTCATAATTATTTTTGTTTGACACCAAAGCAAATTCCTTTGATGTGTAAACGTAGTTTGTGATTAACCTGGTTCTGGTTCTGGTTTCAGCACGTACCGAGCACGGGGCAGGGTGCGGGTTTGAAGGCCTCACACTGCAGGCAGCGGCCCTCCAGGAAGTGGCTGTAGGACGAGCAGGGGTAACCGGTGAGGCTGCAGGTCCGATTCAGAGCGCACAGGAAGAGGAACATGGAGCGCTGGTGGTCACACACAAAGTACGCTTTACCTGAGGGAGACACACAACTGCAGTGTGAGTGTGTGTGGTGATTCATGGGTGTTGGTTGGATTGCTTAGTGTGTGTGTTTACCTGAAAATATGGTTTTGGGACACCCTGGTTGGTCTGCTCCACCGTTGGCGTAGAAGTCGATATGACCGTGAGTTCCTCTCAGTCCAAACGCTGCACCGGAAAAATACATGTTGAAAATAAGACATCATTTTTGTGCTGGTTATTTAGTTTCTTTAAAAGTCCCATGTCATGCTTTTCTGGTTATTACCCGTCCCCTTGTGTGTTATGTAGCTTTTTCTGCATGTAAACGGTCTGCAGAGTCACAAACCCTCAAAGCACACCCTGTAGCGAGTAAAACTCTAACACAGAAAATACCTGTCTATGCTGCCCCAGAACGCCTCGTTGGAGATTTCTCTTTTTCCATTGTTTTCTTCTTGGGTATTGTGACGTATTTGGGTATAGTGACGTAACGTCCGCGGAGCCGTTACGTTAAGACTTCCACACACACACACACACACACACACACACACACACACACACACACACACACACACACACACACACACACACACACACACACACACACACACACACACACACACACACACACACACACACACACACACACACACACACACACACACACACACACACACAATCTTTTCTCATCTGTAGCTCCGCAGATTTCTCAGCCTGAGACGGCGGGGCGAGGCTGTGGTTGTGTGTATGTGAGCACACACACAAACTCACAGCCAGGCTGTGGTTGTGTGTATGTATGCTCGGGCTGGGTTTCACTGTGTCTCACTGTCTCGCAGACGGCCATGGGCTCACAGGGAGGGGGGAGGAGGAGCTCCAACAAGCCGTTTAGGACAGAGAGTGAATACACATACTATACAGAGATGCTGTGTGGGAAACGAATGTGAGTTTGGAAAATTGCACAATATAAATCTATTTTAGTATACCTCAACAATGAAATTATGATCAGTAGAAATGGCCATGTCATGGGACCTTTAAATATACTGTAAACTAACAGGTTTGCTTTCCAAACTTCCAAGCACATGTCAAGTACTTACCTGTTAAGTACCAGGTTTCTCTAAAGCACTAATGTCCCAGAGACAATCCTATGTGTTTAGTTATAGTCAGTAAATATAATTCAGAATCTTACAATCCATGTCGGTGTGAAGCACGTCCACAAACATGGCATCTGTCGGGTCCAGTCTCTCCTCTGGTATGGCGCTGGTGAACATTGGACCGGCCGGATCCAGACCTGGAGGGGAGGGCGACAGAAAGATCTCTTGGCACTCGTGTAACGGAATACTGCTCTGCTGCTTCTCTGTTGGCAAGTCATATATTGATTTAATTATATTTAACTCACCTGTGATTCGTCCGATCTTCCCATGTAGGTTTGCTCCTACGAATCCGGCCAGGTGAGCTCCCAGACTGACGCCGAGCAGGTGGACAGAGCTCAGAGACGCTCCTTCCTCCTGCAGACACAACATTTACTAAAGTGTTGTGAATATTGTTCACTTTTCACAGCTGCCTGGAAACATTAGGACTGAGATAAATAGTAAATTAAAGTTTCGAAAAAAAAGGCTAAAAGAGCTGCTGGCATCCTCCCCACACAGGTCGTCTCACCTGCATGGTCTCGATGAATCCTGTCAGGTTGTGCGCTGCGTCCCGGGTGTATGTGACGGCGGTGAAGTAGTTGAGGTTTGCCGCTCCTTTGTTCCAGTCCACCACGATGACGTTCATGTCCTCCTGCTCCGCTAGCAGTTGCACCAGGTGGTCGATCCAGATGGGGGGGGCTCCGGTGGGCCTGTAGCCATGGATGACGAAGGCGGTGGGGCGGGAGACGTTGAATAGCGGCTGGGAGGAGGGGTGGTGGTGGTCCAGCTCGCGGCCGCAGTCCAGGTTGGAGCGGGTGTAGAGCAGCAAGCGCACGTACAGGACGGTTCCCATGAAGCAGTGCGACAGGTTCAGGTCTGTGAAGTTATCGCAGGACTCGCCCCCCCCCACTCTCCTCCTGACCTGGACACACAGCAGGTCAGACATTAATGATGCTCCAGAGATCCAGAGATTTTTACTTTGGCTTAATTCTATTTTATATTTGTATTGCATATTCTTACTTTAACTTATCGTGTTTATTAAATTATTATTATTCAAATGTTTATATATTTTTACTCTAAAATGTCACAAAACTAATTTCCCCCCAGTAAAAAAAATAAAGCCTTCTGATCATAATCTAGGGTAATATCATATCAGCAAAAACTGGAATATTATTGGTATTGATTAGAAATACATTTGATGTACTCTTAGGAAGCCAAGACCTTATGTGACGAACATTCAAAGACATATTAAAAAACAACCTAATTAGAAGCTTCAAATGTAAAAAACCATTTAAAACATTCAGCACAGCCCTAGTAGCTTCAAACGTAGCATTTAGCATCACAGTGAATGGTATTTTCCCCGCTGTGGTTCCCGCTCACACACAGAGCTCATCACTGCCCTCAATAGGATCATGCTGCTATAAAAAAACACCTCATCCCCTACCCAACCCGCCCCACCCTGAGCGAGAGGGTGGCCCCAATCCAGCCCCAAACACACTCATTAGTAACCTATGAATAGCTGGCTGAGAGACGGTGTGTGTGTGTGAGTGCGACCCGGTGTATATACTCTAAAACCACCAGACAGAAACAGCACGCTTCAACCTAAACAAAGGGCAGCAGGAAAGGGATACTTATCTGTTCCTTAAGCTGTCTGCTGCCACTCATACTTTACTTCAGCTTTCACTGTTTTTTAAGAAGTTCACATTTTCTTTAATGAATAAGCAGCATTGTTGGTGTTTTTCTTACCTTTGCAGAGCAGGAGGAGACCCAGCAGAAGCAGGAGTCTGCAGGAGAGCATCCTTCCCACAACAGCAGAGACAGAGAGGGGACCGATGGAGGTAAAGACAGAGAGGGGAAGAAGTGTGAATGAAGAGGGATGGAGGGAGAGAGTAAGTGAAGGAGGGAGGGATTGTTGTGAGAGGGAGGGAGGGAGGGGGGAGAGGAGGTGCCGTCACTTACAGTAAGGATCAGTTTCTAGAAGGATGGAGAGCTAATGAGGAAGGGAATGGAGAGGAATACAAAATAAATGGAGGAGACAAGAGGTGTCAGAGTTCGGAAAAAATGTGATACGTTTTTGCTTATTTTTTTCAGAGTTTGAAGTGCTGCAAAGTAAAACTTAGTTCAAGCGTGCAAGAAAAGGATTTTCAAATATAAAAACCCAAAGTTTGGGAATTCAAAATCAGCAAAAAATTTTTTTTTAATGATAGAATATCCATTGTAAGTCATCCTCAGACAGCTAGCCAGTCCTACTACACTCTAAACATATATATACAAAATACAATAAAAAGACCTTATTTCTGAATAAATATATAGGCTACTAAAGAAGAAAACGTGTAAACCTGGTACAGTAGGTGGCCCTCGTAGCTGCTCCTCTCCTCTGATTAGTGAGGTTGGAGTATGATTGTTTGTAATATGTAACTTTAAAAAGCTGGGGCCACTCCAGTTCTGGTTATTAATAGCTCCCTGGGCTCTAACCACACGGCACCCAGCCCTTGCTGCCCTGTACTCACTGAATTCATCGTGTAATTTAACATCCAGAGACTCTGAAAACATTCAAAAGCAGCGAAACTGAACCGAGGGTTTCAGTAATGTAAGAGTGCACGCTGAAAACGTACAATCAGCAGTCGTAAGGCAGAGAAACCGACATGAAAACTCGAACTGGCCTCTACAAAATGTGTTTATCACAAGGAATACTGCTGCCTTCTGTATGCAATCTTGCTGTTTTACCACTTTGGTTTTTCGTCCAGAATAATTAAACAAGAACCAGCGTCTTAATTATTACGATTGTAATGTTCACGAAATGAAATGAATTCAAATTCTAATAAAAAAAATAGACAAAATGCATCCCTACCCGACAACTGATAAGAGAATAATAAGAAAAGTATTGAAATACTGCAGGTTTTTGTCTAAATACTAATAGGATCTGTGAGTTTTGTGTCTCTGCTGCAGACCGAGCAGCTATCGTCAGGGAGCAGCCAGGTAAAAGGTGAGTGTGAGGTCACGGCCCGTAAAGAGCTTACCTTTGAGGCCACGCCCTCTTTTTAGTCACCAGCCTGGCAAATAACAGAGCTGCGGGACGAGATTATAAAACCAGCAACGTGTGTCAGGCACTTCTTTGGTTCACACAGAAAACTGCGTGACGTTTGTGTTCAAGCATCTACGGGCTCCTGTGGAGGTTTTGTATACTGATAAAAATGTTGAGGTACTTCAGTATTTTCATTTTTATGCTACTATACTTCAATTAATAATGTGACTTAATTTGCTAGTTACGTTCCTGATTCAGAATTATACCTTCTCTCGGTTTTGCTAGCCCAACATTACATCCTAAACTTAAATTCAGAATTATTTTTAAATGGACATATTCTGATATCAGTTTACGTATTACACATTTTAGTCCAGGTTTTGGTGTGCATTAGATCAGTCTAAAAATGGTGCAGAAATGTAATAAGCTATCTGATAAGAAATATTTCCCTCTGTGAATGGTGATGTAAAGATCTGGAGGTCAGGGTGTTCTATTAGAGGAGTCTTCAGCTAAAGCTTGGAGATAATCACAGCTAAACCTCTGAACCTGAACATATTCATGTCTCAGTAAACTGCAGTATTAGGTAATTGTAATGGGATGATCCATAATGATATCCCCATTCTCTGCCTCTGTGAGCTGCATTATCAAGAATGAGGGGAAAAGAGATTTACTTTTAGCCATCTCAGCTGCGGATACCAGCTATCCACCATTATTTAATGACATATCTCAACAATTATTTCATGTATTGGAGTGAACTTTTATAAAAAAACACAATAATATTCAAAGGATAAGTGATATTTAAAAGAAGCACTAACAATGGAGATACCCATAGCAGAGGTAGAACTTAAATGCATACAGTATATTGCAACCACTTACATGTTTATAATACACAAATGTTGCTGTTCCACATATCCATCTTTAAATATTATTACAGTTCTCAGTATTAATTCTACTGAACAGTATTTTATCTTACATTCCATTGTTATTCTATTTTATGCTTCTTTGTTTTCTTTTAATTATAGTATGTTGCTTTATTGGAGGAGTCTTCAGGACTTCAGATTTCCAGTTAAAATAGGCAAAAAGCTGATTTCAAACACATAACGTGCAAATAAACGATATTTTATTAACAGAGGTACTGATATGTGATCAGAACATGAGGAGCTCTGTGGAGAGGGGGCAGACCACGATGTGGGCGCTGCTCTGCACGGAGGATAAAGACTGCAGGTATCTGAGGTGGGAGGCCACGGGGGGGGGGGGGGGGGGGGGGGGGGTGGTCGGACGCCTTCACTTCTCCTTCAGCAACAATCATCTTACAAAGAAAGAGAGGAAGGTAAGATCAGATCAAAATCATCATAATGGTCATGTTTCTCTTCTGAAATATACGAATATATATTGGAGTCAAAAGTACAATATTTCCCTCCGAGATGTAGTGGAGCAGAAATTAAATATAGCACTACTAAAAAGAGATTTTTTAAAGAAATTTTACATTACGAAAAGGGCAGAAAAAACATGACCAGAGCCTATAGGGAGGATAGTCTACATTCTATATAGCTAGCATCACTATTTATGTTATTTTTAGTCTTTCCAAATAATCCTACTTTATTACATGCGAAATCCTCCATCACTCGAATATTGTCTATAATTGTGCCAAGATATCCAACATATACATTCATTTCACTGAGCGGTGGCGATACCTGGTCTTCACAGCAACTTGCAGTGATTAAATAAACAGATGGAGAGCTTTGTGTGTTTTATAACAGGAGTGTGTGAGATAGCCGGTGTGTGTGTGTGTTTGTGTACATGGCCCTGGCCTATGGAGGACGGAACATGACTTAAGTATAAATAAATAAATGTATGAAGAAATACAGGAATAAATAAATAAATACGTAAATAAATAAATAAATACAGGAATAAATAAATACAGGAATAAATAAATGACGAAATAAATACAGAAATAAATAAATGTTGAAATGAATACACAAATAAATAAATAAAAGAATAAATGCATAAATAAATGCATAAATAAATATGGAAATAAATACATCAATGTATAAATAAATAAATAAAAGTCGAAAATAAAACAGAACACACGTTATTATATATCTTTCATTTATTTCTACATTTACGCAACATACATTTATTTATTTATGTATTTATGTGTCCGTATGCTAATGAGGTGGGCGGTCCTAACCTCAGTCTGAAGCAGGATTGGTTACAGGAGTGTGTGATCATTTCTGGCAGAGGGCTCTACTACTAACGCCTGGATAACCGCGCTGATTCGAATGCAGGAGCTTTACTGTTTAGCCCTTATCTTTATACATCCATGGTTTATCCACAGTTGTAAGGTTTATTTATGGATATTGATTTAAGAGCCATTGGAGATCATTTACGATCATTAGCGGACCATTTAGAGAACGGAGAACCAAAAGACTATGTCCAGTTTCGTGTGGAACGATGTATAGAGGACTTGGCTCAGCTCGACATGATGTGACTTGCCACAAATCTATTGCTTCTGCCTGGCTCCAACAATTGGCGAATCCTGCTTCAGACTGAGGTTAGGACCGCCCACCTCATTAGCATACGGACACATAAATACATAAATAAATAAATGTATGTCGCGTAAATGTAGAAATAAATGAAAGATATATAATAATAACGTGTGTTCTGTTTTATTTTCGACATTTATTTATTTATACATTGATGTATTTATTTCCATATTTATTTATGCATTTATTCTTTTATTTATTTATTTGTGTATTCATTTCAACATTTATTTATTTCTGTATTTATTTCGTCATTTATTTATTCCTGTATTTATTTATTTATTTACGTATTTATTTATTTATTCCTGTATTTATGTACGTAATTTATTTATTCCTGTATTTCTTCATACATTTATTTATTTATACTTAAGTCATGTTCCGTCCTCCATACTGGCCTTCCCGATGGCCTCGGCCTCTGAAGCCATGCTGCGCTGTAGGGTGAAGGGAAGAGTCACATTTTTCAGCTCCACCCGCTGCACCTGAACGCCCCACAGTCTGGATGCAGAGTAGAGCACCTCCTGCAGGACAAACAAAATATATAATTTATTGATATCAAAAATACAAACAAGATGTTTATTATCAGGTAAATATCCCAATATTATGGTACAAGTGGCACCATTTAACAATTTCTTTATTTAAAATAAGTGTCCCATATATTGTTAACACTGGATTCTTCTTCACCTGTTGAACACCTATATAACATGTAAACAAAAAACATTAAGGAATAGAGTTTCAAAATGGGAAACAGATAAAGAACATGTTTTTTGTGTGCAAAAATAAATGGAAAATATTCTTCCTGTAAGAAAAAACCCACAGAATTTGTCTTTAGAGAAAAACTAATGAGTTGAGTTTGTTTATAATATGAAATAAATATGGGTGGCTCTTACAAAACAGCATCATTCAAATAGATTTCCGCAACCGTTTTTGTTGATTTCCCTCACTTTGCCATGCTTGTCCTCTGTAACAGTATGTCTGTCAGAGTGTGTGTGCCCAGCGTGCCATTCAGGGTCGTTTGGGCCAGAGAGTGTGTGGCCATTTTCAACACGTGTCACCCAGAGCGAGGGGTCCACCACTCGGTAAAACACAACAGCATCCACCATTAATGGAACCCCGTCTGCAGTCAGAACCTAAGCAGGGGATGAAGAGAGAACAGATCATAGAATACAAAACATAAAGGACAGATTTCTCCCTGTGTGTAATGTTCATGCTGCTGACCTCTTGTGGCTGGATGGTGAAGGAAGCGGTCCGCAAGTCCACTTTCTGGATGGCATCCAGCCAGGGGATGAACCAGAAGAGACAGAAAGATATTTCCTTTTCTATGCCAGAATTGTTTTGATAGGTCATCACTTCCTTTTATATTTTGATTTTCAGCTTTCAGTACAGTAAAGGCTTCTACATAGTATGACAGTGATTACATTATTTGTATACCCCAATAATAAGATAATGAAAAGTATATATTTGTACCGGGGTCCTTTGGCCTGTCCCTTTACAACACGGCCCAGTCTGAAGATCACGGCCCTCTCACACTCCTTAATGACCTGCAGGACAGAAAGCATTGCCTTTAAGTTAAGCAAAGACTGAGTATATTGTCAGGACCTCGACACAAACTGATGAACCCAAATGCACGACCCAGAGACAAAGTCTTGAATATATAAAAAAAAGTATATTTATTATCACAGTTCAGGTAATCCCTCTTAAGGTAGGTGGTGGAAATAACAAAAGGCGCTCACAAGGAGGAAACAACTAGTGTAACAAAAAGAAGACTTAATAAAAACTTAAGCCAACAAAATAGCAAAACCTGACACGAGTGAAAAGCGATCTTTTCTGAGCTGAGGCTTGGCACGGCCATTTGGGGAAACAAACAAGACGAACTGACACAGGGGAGGGAGAGACAGGACTATTTAAACATGAGGTGAGTGGGAACAGGTGGAAACAATAGGGGCGGGGCAGACACTGATGATGGCGGGAAAAAACACAAAAGGGGAGGAAGAGAACAGGGCCTGAAATGAAAGACAAGGTAAATACAAAATAGAACAGGAAATTACAGACAAAATACATAAACATAACTAACACATTTGACGAGACACAACATATATTTCATAAATATGATTTTGTATGTCATCATTTTGACACAAGAATCTAAACTACAATAATACAATTTGAAACAGTTGCTTCATTTTATAATGAAATGTAAAAAGGGTTAAAAAAAAATTAATTAAAATAGAACACATATTTTTATAAACATAAGCAGTTAAGTAAGAATTAAATAATAATATAAAATAAGAAAATACAACAACAATAATGTCATGTTAATTGCATAAAGTGTGTATGTTAATGGTGGAAGATAAATCAGTGTTTCTTCGGTGTGTTTGTGTCGGATACCTTAGCACACATCCAGACTGAGAGGGGGAAGGTGAAGAGGATGAAGGCCGTGGACAGGAGGGTGAGCACCGCCCCGAAGACTCCAACCAGCGGCGGGCTCCTCCGTCCTCCATCTTCCCCCAGCAGGGACACAGAGGGAGGAGGAGAACAAATAGGGCTTCAGAACTCACCTCACGTTAGCTTGAAAAATTAGCATAATCCAGCTAAACTCAAATGACCTTTTAACGTTTTCAGCAACAAATTATTCCGCACAGATAACTCCAACTTTATATACACCGCCTATTACCCTCAGTATCGCCGAGAAACACGTTTGAAGTTACTTTATATCGCTGTATTTAACACTAAAGCAAAGTTGAACTGATTTTCAAGCCATAAACTCCAACAGGGTTTGCTTTACTGACAGTGAGCGCGTCACGTTGCCTAGCAACCCCGTTTCCCTCCAAACGTTATTGAGAAAAATCTTACAAACAAAACATTGCTTGAATTGTAATCTATATATAAATAGAAAAATAGCATATAATAATAATTTGGAATTTAAATAAATGAATACAAAAAATGAAAAAAAAGACAATAAAACAGAATACATATATTTGTATACAGTGAACATAAGAATTACCAGTATCAACAAAAATGTGCTAATTTGACTATTACATATAGTTAACAACATTACATTTTTAAACATTAAACTTGTGTAAATTACAATATATACAGAGTTTGATTCGTATAATTAGAAGATAATAAAGCTGAAGCTCATTGTTGCTCAACAAGTACAATGTAAGTATAGTCAGTTTCACCCTTTGTTCTATTACTCACATGCTCTCTGTCTTTCACTTACACATCACACTTCCTGTGAAACTGTCAGGCTACTTCTTCTGTCTTGTTAGCTCCCACAAGTCACTCTGCTGCACACCTCCATGTGTGAAGTTCTCTCTTTCTCTTTCATTCCCCTTTACCTCTGCGGGTCTGCTTCTATGGCCCCTGTAATAAGTCTAAGGTGCTGTTTTTGGAAATGAATCTGTTTGGCGTGTTTGTGGATGTCTGACAGTTTCTCCTCACCATGGCAGCAGCTGTGCCGGTGAGTTATCACGGCGCCATCACCAAAGCCGAGTGTGAGGCAATGCTGGGGAAGAAGAACAAGAATGGAGCATACCTGATCCGAGAAAGCGAGACCATCCAGGGAGCGATGTGTCTCTGTGTTTAGTGAGTAAACTGCAGTGGAGAAAGTCTCTTAATGGATTTAAGTCATGTAGGTTGGCACATGCAAGGATTTGGCATTGATTGTTGGTGCATAACATAAACAAAGTAAGATAAAATTGCAAAAATCAAGAAGCCTGGAAGAGAAATACAATAAGAATGTGAAAAATCGATGTTATGTTATGTTGTCTACTTCTACCTAATTACATTTCAGAGGCAACTGTTATTGTACTGTACTTCCACATGCAATGACTTTGCTTCTGTGTTCGATGCATACAATTAACAAAGATAGAGAATGTTATGAATGTATTTAAAAAATCAAGACACATACAATAAGATAACGTAAGAAAATCTATATTACACTGTTGAAGTAATTTTATTTATACCTAATTAAAAGAACAAATACTCGAAGAAGTTTTAAAGAGACTTAATAAAGCTAAAGAATGTTAGCAAATTATTCTTGCTACATTAAAAATTAATTAAATGACTGTTGTGTATGCAGTCGATAAGTATATACTGCATATCAAAAATAGCTTTATTTAAGTTAAGTTGGTTTAAGAAAGAAAGTATATATTTATGTGCATTACTGTACGTGCTAACCTAACATTTATTATGTACTGTACGTTAGCCTTTTGAGGCTGTATGGCGGTTGGTTTCTGTTCATTACATTTTCCATTTCGCGTCAACAAAATGTTTACACATGACCCGAAATCATTTTCTATGCACCAACAATTGCACCTTTTTATATTTAAATGCGAACATTCAGTAAAATGCTTCTAAAGGAAAGAACAATACCATTTCCTTTACGTGTTTTTTGCAGCTTTTATCAATAATTAATTAATTTAACATTTAACGTTTATCTTCACAGCAAACAGAAGGTGGTGTATACCTACAGAGTGCTTAAGACACACAGTGGACACTATACTCTCATGGTAAACACACACACACACACACACACACACACACACACACACACACACACACACACACACACACACACACACACACACACACACACACACACACACACACACACACACACACACACACACACACACACACATATATTGTAAGTATAGTAAAGAAAAGATTAGCGCCACAGTCAGGATCCACATCCCTCTTGCATGCATAATTATTATTATTTCAATTTTAAGATTTCATTTATTTAATTTACTGTTCAATTAAATAGCATCTCATTTCCTAACGTTGTTTCAAAGCCATTTACAAACAGGAGTTGTAATTTCAAGTACTTCCGTGTCAAATGTTCATATTCTTTGGGTTGGATACCTATTCTTTGATCAGATATTTATAATTTGGATAGTGTTTTATTGAGGTAAAACCTTTTGTTTAATTGTATGCATTGTGTGCTTTAATGTCCAATCTTTTTAATGAGAAAGTTGGTCAAAACAAGTTACTGTCCCACAAAGTCATGGATGGTACACACCCTTCCTTAGTTATTTATTTATGTATATTTTGACAGCCTAGAAAGTACTTAGTACACGCCTTCTCATTCAACATTTTTACCACATCAAGCCAAAGATGGATACTTTAAATAATGTAAAATACAGAAAATATTTGGCTTTGTGTACACTTTCTGCATAATTCCATACATGTCATTTATTTGTTTGGATGTGTTAAGTATTAATCCAAGATGTAGGACATTATAATAATACAGAAAAAACATTAAACTAGCAGGTGTATGCAAACGTTTTACTGGTTCTCAGTGTAATTGTTAAATGCAAAGTAGGTTGTGCATTAAGACTGAGGAAATGACCACAGTGTCAGACACTTCAAAATGAAACCAAACTAAAATTCCCACATCTAAACTGAGTTCTACAAAGACAGAAACGGAAGCAGAAACACTTCCTCAGTGTCATTTTTCAAAATTTTGAAATAATTAATGACTTCACCACAGATCAGGAGGGTTGATAAAGGTTTTGATTCCTAACTGGAAACTCGTGCCCATGTCACAGGAACTTCTCTGACGTGTGATTAGACAAAAATACACATTTCCAGAACTCTGAATGGCCGCCCACACACACGAGATGGAAATAGCAACTGGTTATCAGGCTGCTCAAGTTTAAAACTCACAGGGCTATTCAATATTTGTAGGGCTCTTTGATTTTCTTTCTTTTTTTCATTATTTACAATCTAGTTTATTCTTCGTTGGATTGTTGTTTTTGGGTGATTCATATATATTTTTTTCAAAGTCATTATTTTATACTCATTTTCTCATCATTTGATCACTTTTCTTACATGATGTATTTTATTCCCCTTCTTATATGTTGTTGTCAGATTTAGTACTGAAACAGTTAGTTCAACATTGCTTGACAACTCTTATTATCTTGCCTCATCCAGTAATATTTCAAGCAAAACTGCCCAAAACATGGCCTTGTTTAATCTGAGGATTTGATATTATGCTCAGATAATGGATATTTAAATGTCTTGTTTGACTTTCTTTTTTTTTTTTACAAATTGACAAATGTATAGACAACCCTTAGCTTGCTTTAACATGCAATGTTTTTCTCCTCTTGTATTGGGTTTTCCTCCTCCGTTATTTACTGGATGCTGTTTTCTCCCTTCAGACTGCAGGAGGTATTGAAGAAACACATTTTAAGAATTTGGAAGATCTGATCCGGCACTATAAGAAGAAGAACCAGGGCCTCGCCATGCACCTGCGGCACTCTGTCAAAAGAAAGACAGCCATGTTGATCAAGCAACCAGCAGAACCACAGAGCATGGCAGAACCTCAGAGGATGGCAGAACCTCAGAGGATGGCAGAACCTCAGAGGATGGCTGAACCTCAGAGGATGGCTGAACCTCAGAGGATGGCTGAACCTCAGAGGATGGCTGAACCTCAGAGGATGGCTGAACCTCAGAGGATGGCTGAACCTGAGGAACCTGACTATGAGGAATCTGACTATGCGAGTACGTCACATGTTTTATATCTTAAAATCGGTTTATGTCCAGAGAGTAAAGCAGAAAATGCACAAAACACAACATTTGTATAATAATCAACCTAAGATCTCCTTACAGTGAGTAACATGCAGCTTTTTCATGAGCATATACAAAATAAAACAATATAAAACACTAAAGAAATAACACTAAGGGGATTTCTGCAGAAAATGTGCCCTGATAACCCGAGGACAATTTAAAATATAATAGTATTCTTCATATAGGTTTAAAAAAACATTTAAAACACAATTTCCATTAAACATCATCAGCATCTTCGTTTATTTGTTGTATTGATTGACCTGATATTGTCTTTATTTTCCTCTAGATGTTTCTGACACTGACTACGTTGAGGTCCTGCCTGAATGAACAACTCTGACAGTTATCTTAAACAACACGAGCAGAGTGGAAAATACATTTGGTATCAAAAGCTTACAGACTGGATCAAATTCAGAAATATAAATAAGGTTGGACAAATGCTGAAGAAAAAGGCTCGCCTCCAGTGGATGGACTTTTATGCAATTTGTCTCATTCATGACACCCAGAGGATGAATTGTTTTTGGGAATTGCAAAAATGTGACTTGGAGTTGAGTGCTATTATAACATGCTAAGCTAAGATGTTATATATTAGCATGTTGGCAATATTCATAGTTGGCATCAGTGTTGGAAGAAGTACTCAGATAGTTTACAAATACTGCCCTCAAAATCAAGCTTACATTAAAGTACAAAAGTAAAAGCACACCTCATCACCCATTTCAGAAGAAATTTATATTATTAGCTAAATTATAATTATTGATGGATTACTGGCTTCATCATTTAGATGATGCAGCTGGTTAAGGACGAGCCAATTTGAATAACTTAACATACTGTACAGTATCTAAAGGTCACATTTTGTTTACTTTGTAATTAAAAAAATACAATATTTGTAAGTAAAGTACTTCAAAATAACACCTGTGCAGTATAGTAAATATACTTTAAATCACTTGTTAGCATTTAATTCCTTGTTAATGCTGCTGTACATGTGTAGAATATAGAACTGTTCATCTGTAGAGACATAACAGGATTTTTACTCCTGCTGTGAGACACTGGCTGTCAACTCAAGTTACCATTTGAAAGCAATCTGAAATGTAATTGCAAGTGCATTTATCAACATTTGCATCTGAATCATCATGACGCATGTGGAAACATATCCTTTATCTCAAAGTTACCATACTGTCAACTAGTTTCCAGTTCCAAGAATATTGGCCGGACATTGCATTTACATGAATCCAGCAACACAGTGTTTGTTTTTGAGTTGCACTGCAGTATTCCTTATGTCATGGCTTTTATTTCTATCATATTATACAGTAAAGAACATTTTGGCATTTGTTTCCATTCCTACAGACATGTAGAATGACAGGGTGGCTGGTATTTGTTATACATTTACACTTTGTAAATACTAATCTATTCCATTTTCTTTTGTACCTGTATAATCTTTGGTGTTTTATGTGCAATTACAGTAAAAATATCCCTCTTGCAGACACAACATACCTGAAACTCATAGACTTTAGAGAACTTCCTCACTTCCCAGAATTATGTTAAGATATGACTTGAGAACCTTATTTCAGTGTATGCAGATCAGTATACTAAAGAGACCAAACCAAACCACTTCTGCATTGTCTGTTGGACAAAAACATCACTTCACATCCTGTTGCTTTCACACCTGCAATACCAACTCACGACACATTTTAAAGATAGTCTTCATTTGGCATTTTCATTGCTTTACTGTAAGGATAATTCTAGTAAGAGGTTATTTTTGTAATTATGGGAGATTTGTGCATTTTTTAAGCAGATGCATGCTTCTGTTTATGTGCAAGAAAGAAAACAGCAAAGAGACAAGATAAAAAGCAAACAAATTCAGTGGTGGGCTTCAAGAGTATATGCATATAACCACATTTTTGCCACACCGACATAAACAGCTTCGACAGTCACATGTTCTATAGCAGAGCATCTTTATCTACTCATGAGATTTGTATTTGAAGTTTGATGATTTTGTTTATGGTTGTATGGACTCACTGATAACAGGCCGATATTATTAGCCAATAGCAGTTTATGTAGGAAATATGTCAGCTGCTTAATAAGAAGAAATGTAGGTTAATGGCATACCATAACAGCAACACACCCTTTCAGCATGAACCGCTTTATTTACTGTCTCTGTTTAAAAATGGCAAAAATATATTAATAATTAATATATATATTTATATATATATTATTTTTTACCACAAATATATATAGATTACTTGAGAGATCTGGTAAAAAATAAATAATTAAAAATGTTGAATTCTGACTGATCTTGCTCCGAACAAGTAAACTGGTGATGATTTTGTTATATTTTGTTCATGTATTTATTTTCTTGCATGATATTATATTTTTATTTCACTCTTTGTATTTTACTTTAAATACGTCTGGTAGTTGTTATGCCCCCTTACGTTACGTGTCCTGGCCTGTACCCGCCCAATACATACAAAAGGGGGGAATTGATATTTAGTCAACTTGATTTTTAAAACAAAAATCACATTGCACTTTCCGACGTCATCATATTTAATAGTACAGTATTCAAATAATATGATTGGTTCATTTATATCATTCACAAATCATACAAACCTTTATAATGTTGAGTTAACCTTGCCCACCCCCCCTTTTTTTGACATGGTCCGTCCCTTTCCCGTTCGAAGCTCAACGCGGGAGGAAGTAGCTGTGTTGCCGGTTGTTGTTGATGTTTCTTGGGGAAGAAGAAGTACCACAGGTAGTCTGATATACACAAAAAAGCACATCCATAACTCATGTAATAGTTAGAAATATATATCCAGCAGTACACAAATGTTGAGCCATTTTTCTATTAGTGTAATTTTCTATTGTTATAAAGCTCTTAGGTGGGCTGGTTAGCTAACGTTAGTGTTACCGTTAGCATCGGAGGTTCAAGATGGAGGTGTAAAACGTCAGTTACTTCTCTTTGAAAGCGAGCTAATGTGTTGTGTCACTGTTATAACCTTATAGTTCATACTTTTGCTCAACAGGATGGACATGACGACGTGTTTAAAGTCTCTGTTGCTGGCTATCCAGCAGTACAGAGGCGGCAGGACTGCTCAAAATGCAGCGCAGCTACACAAACAAGTGGAGGTGAGCCTGAATAAATTTAAATAATCGGATTTAATTTCACTTTATGACAGACATATAACATCACAACAATACCAAGGGAGCATGGTTGGCTTTTGGGTGTGTATTGTTTATGTTGTGTTAGAAAAGCCTATTTTCGGTGGTGTAAAGTAGCTCAATACATTTACTCAAGTACTGTACGTTAGTACAATTTTGAAATATTTGTACTTAACTTTACTTGAGTATCTCCATTGTATGCTACTTTATACATCTACTCCTCTATAATTCAGAGGTAAATCGTGAACTTTTACTAGACTACATTTATTTTCTACCTTTAGTTACTTTTCTGATTTGGATTAATGATGTGAAATATAATCAACATTTAAATCAGATTGAGCTAACCTGGAGTCCAATTCAGAAGCTACCCTGCAGTCAATGAAGTCATTCAAACTAGCTGCACCTTTACCAGCTTTATTAAACCTGTATTAAACACATCAATACCTTAATAATTATAATCAAAACATATGGTAATATATGATTGAGAAATGGGCCAATCTGCATAATGAGTGCTTTTACTTTTGGTGCTTTAAGTATATTTAGATGCTAGTACTTTTGTGCTTTTACTTGGGTAACATATTGATTGCAGGACTTTTACTTGTAACAGAGTTGCCTCTTTTGTATTTTGTTAACCCACTCTTATATTATACATTAAAGTAAGAATAAAGGAATTGTGGAAATGGCTTTAAGTTCCATGACAAAGTCCCTGGATTCACAAAAGAGTATAAACTATCTTAATAACATTACACTCGGTTTTAGCCTTTAGTTTGTGATTACAAGCCAAACTGAGATGCTGTGGCTTTACTAAATGTTGGTTGAAATGTTGCGTACATAACAAGTTGCAGGTCCCTATGAGTGCATGTTGTGTTTGTGGTTGTTTGCAGGAGGTGTCAGGCCTCAAGTGTGACCAGCTGCTGTCCTCGGGTCAGGCTCTGCCCCGGGAGTGTGTGAGCGGGCTGGTGGAGCTGGCCGGAAACCCAAACACCAGCCCCAACATGACGAGCTCCATCATCTCCCTGCTGGCACAACTAGGTACATACCAGACACATTTATCAACATCCACATGCTCGATGAGCTAAGTAAGTGTTTTCATGGTGGCATCAGAGAAACAGGAGCCAGGGTATTTATTTTGCCGATTTGCTGGCGTTTCACCCACTTTTGTAAAATCTTTCTGACACAGATGATAGGTGTCATATAGATGCAAATAGGATCTCACACTTTTCTCTGCTGCTGGTTTAAATCTCACATGTTATTAATAAAATGTCACATATGTTGCTTTGTAAAAGCAATGACTCTTCACTTTGATTTGACGTCTATGATTCTTATAACGTTAGCAGTTCAGCGAGGAAAAGAAGAATACAATAGAATTTGAAGAGATTAAATACACATACTCAAAACATAAATACAAAAATGAAAAACACAAGATGCAATGAAATGCATACTGAAAAACAAAAAAGGAGAAAGCAGTTATAAGTGTGATTCATGAGGTAGAAACTGAACATCCAGCCCTTTTCTAAACAAATCTTTGTCCTTCTTCCCACCTGCTGCTCCAGCCTGTGATGATGACAGTCGGGAGATTCTTCACAGCAGCTACAGCCTCACCAGCACCCTGGCGTCTGTCATCCACTGCCACAGCGCCACACCTGGGGAGCCCCTGGTACTGCAGGTAAGAACATCACCGCATTTGGTCAAATGTTTCTCTCATGGGTCCACACATAGGTCTTCTGTCGGCTCTGTACATCAATGCCGACCTATGCTGACAAGTAAGTGAAGAGTAGACAATATAAAGGTATTGGCTATAGGGAAATGTCCCAGCAGTTTAGGATAATGAAGGTTCTAATCAAATCTATTACATAGCCATTACATTTCTAACTCCTGATAATGACAGGAAGGCAGAAAGCGCATTATACAAATAATAATACTCATAATAATAGCAGACATTTTTTAACAATGACTAACAATATAATTATTTTAATAAACTAAATATGAACAATTGAGGAAAATGAGGATGAACTGATGATTCAAATGTTGTAGTAATGTAGTTAGTGCATACTGTAGGAGCAAACACAATAGTGGTGGCTTAAAGCCCTCCTCTGCTCCGCGCCGTCCTTTAGATGAGCCTGGTCAGATTTAATAAAAGGAGTTCAAAACACCGGCATAAAAGTTATAACAATAATCTGATTTTAATACAGTAAAAAACACAATACGAAATACAGAGTGCCCTGAAACAGAGCACTCCGGGCTCCCCGCTCTACTGCCGTGCGATACAGATATCGGGACCAGCCAGTCAGAAACAGGGGGCATTTTGCATGAAGAAACAACAGTATATATGGACATATTTGGGTCGGAGATGTGTGTCGGCTCTTCCGTCCCATTTTACTCCTAAGCGAATCAGAGTTCTGGGGAAAAGTATTTTTCTTCTGAACAGAGCGTGAGAGCATCGGAACTCTACAAGGTCAGAATCACTTTTTATCTTATACCTGGGCCCAACTCCTTTAATTTCCCAGGGAAGGTTTCACACAAACTATTCTTTTAAAACAATCAAACATTGTACACAGATATATTGGTGCTTGGGATTATTCTCCCCAGCAAGAACCTTGGAAAAAGAACATGTGTGTGTGTTAGTGAGGGGAAGTGTATGTGTATGTATGTGTGTGTGTGTGCTGATAAGCGGAGGCGTATGTGTGTGTGTTGCTGATATCTGGGTCAAGGAGTTTATGTGTGTGTGCTGCATGGAGACAGGAGGTGTATGTGTGTGTGTCTGCTTATGGGAGGAAGTGTATGTGTGTGTGTGTGTGTCAGGGTCTCTGGGTTATGGAGTGTAAGTAAGAAGGTTTAGATATATAGGATTACTTTAAACAGTCCCAAGTTAATACATGTTCACTTCAATACATTTCACGATAATACCTGTTTACTTTAATACAGTTTAGAACAATATCTGGGTGCTTTAATACATAATTATTGCAACAAATGTGTTAATTCTCAGCATTATTAGTTGATTTTTTTTGGACGAATGCTCCGGGCCAGTGGTTACAATGGTGGGGCCAGTGACAATACAATGCCACTGACCCGGAGGGCCAGTGGCATTTTACCCTTAATGTCTACCCCTGTCTCCTCCTGCATTGAACATCACATAAACTCCGTTCAAACATCAAAACGTTCAGCTCGGTCGGGAATCGAGGCTATTACTTTTCTCATTCATACATTTCATAATTCCAGAGATACATCCCATAATTCATCAAATTTTTAACATTGAAGTCAATGGAGAAACTTCAGACTTGAAAAATCTTCAAAATCTTCATGCGACTTCAACTGCTAACTGTTTCTTCATACTTTC